AAATTTTGTAAATAATTGGAAAATTCATTATATTGCTTACGGGAAGTGATTATTATCCACTAGACCACGCTTTGATTTTCTTAAGATATGATTCTGTTTATATTCAAGGACCAAACTGGAACCAACAGTTAAGCTATAAGACCACAATACAGGAGGTATGAAAAGATTTTTTTGTGAAAGACTAGAATTTTTAGGGATGGTAAGAACTGTGAAACAGATACAGATGTATAGTGAAGAAATAAGATCTTTGTTAACTCACAAGAAAGGTATACATATTTCATTTTTACTAACTGGTCAGACTTGCGTTCTAAATAACTTATGGCTATTGAAGTGGGAAGAAGACCTGTACTGCATCCATTGACAACAGGTACAATTATGTCAGTATTGGACTATTAATCAAATTAATGTCCTAGATTAACTATGTTATTGATTATTCTCATTACATATCCAAGGGAAGATTAACTATTTCATATCAATCCATAAAATCCTTTGCACCACCTTTTCACTTAATTTAGTGGAAGAGTGATGCAGAGATCTGGCCAGATGCATAACAAATTTTTGAGTGACTCCTGTTGTATGAAACAATGATTCAAGAAAGCCTACAACAACCTACGGTTCAGAAATGGTATAAATATTATGTATTTAGTGATATGTGCAATGTTTAGAAGTAGTTCCCAATTTTACAAACGAAACTTATTTCTTAATCAATAATTAAAATGTGCCATGCTTTCATTTATTCTCAATAAATAATTGCATTTTCATTTTATAGACAGTTACAAAAATCTGTGAATATTCCACTGACAACAATTAGAAAACTTTTTTTTTATTTCACCAATAGCAATGAAAACAATGTATCAACCATGGTTCTCACTTATGTGGTGTAGACTATCCTAGTAACCATTTGCTAATAGTTTGTTTATGCCTAATCTGTAACACCATCAAGTCAACACAGAATACAACTGTTTCATTTTTGGTGGGATTTAAGCTAATTACCATGATCTTCACATATATGCATGTCAGTATTTAAGCAAAGCTTTTAATTTGTCTTAAGAATTGTGCTTTTATGTTTGTGTACACAATTACATACACACAAACCAGGAAATACATAAAGTAATTCACACATCAACATGCTCATGTTACAATACTGTTTAGTAACTTTTACATATTTGAATACCTAACGTCATCATTCAGTAGCAAACTCGATAACCATGACAACTAATGTTAGCATCAGATGGTGGAGTGCCTGCTTGTTAGTGCCACTTCTTGCATCAAAATAACATCAACTCCAAAAACATTATGAAAATAAAAGTAATCACAGACAAGAAACCAACATAATTTAGCTATTCCTGCCATAATTCAAGCATACCACCACTTGCATTGCCAACTATACTATTCACAACAACTAAAGGATAGAGGTTTTGATTTGCTTTTTCAAAATTTGAAGAACAAAAAACACAGAGACGTTCAACATTGACGAAACTTGTTTATTACTAATATCACAGGTGAACAATACCAAAAAAAATCGAAAAATTCATTTACAAATAACTTGAAAGCAAATTTAATGAAAAATGCCAACATTTGGCTGTGCAAATATCAAAGAAAAATTAACTTATTAAGTCAAACAAACGTAATAAAATGAGTCTTTAGTAGCTAGTAGGTTCTCTATTGTTTATGACTTCTCTGCACCTGTTCCTCATACTACTGATGACATTACGGAGGAATTGCTGGAGGAGTACTGTCTACTCCTAGATGATGGCAGCTCTGAACTCCTGCACAGTCATAAGAGCAGGTTGTCTGTCTGTAACTGTTCTCCCTAGAAAGTTCCACACGTGCTCTATCGGATTTAGGTCCAGTACATCTATTCTTTCATCCTGAATAAATTTCTGCATCATCCTGGCAGTGTCAGGACAGGCATTATTCTGCTAATACACAAACTCATCTTCAACAGCAAAAGGGCAATGGGTAAGAGGATCTCATTCATGTAATGTCTTGCTTTCAGGGATCCTCCATCCACCTCATAGATATCTGTATGCCCCAGCATGCAGATGCCATCCCCAAAGGCATCATGGTGGACAGTGTTACAGGCCCAATATCGCTCTCCTTCATGTCTCCCGGCCTTCACACGTCTATCACTTATAGACAGTTACAAAAATTTGTGAATATTCCACTGACAACATTTGGAAAACTTTTATTTCATCAATAGCAATGAAAACAATGTATCAACCATGGTTCTCACTTATGTGGTGTAGACTATCCTAGTGACCATTTGCCTCTCTCACAAGCTAGCTAATAGTTTGTTTATGCCTAATCTGTAACACCAAACTGGAACCAACAGTTAAGCTACAGACAACAATTAGAAAACTTTTATTTATTTCACCAATAGCAATGAAAACAATGTATCAACCATACATTTTTATGAGTACTGCATAAGATGCTTGCAAGCACATACAGTTTAATGTAGTGTAAGTACTAAGGACAACAGCAAAATTACTTTTATCATCATAGCCCAACAATTAATCTGACTTACTACATATTCCACGTTAGTATCTCCAACTAAGCATTGAGAAATCTACTACACAAGATAAACATGAAAAATAAGTGGAATAAAACTTACTGAAACAACACATCTGCCAAGTTTTATTACATTTGTGTCAGTGTTTCATGCTGTGCTTGAGCAAACTTCCTTGATGCACTTCAGAAAGACTAAATACTGATCTATCACCCCTAGAAGAATATCTTTGACTGTAATTGTTATCCAAAATATTTGTAAGCATGTGATTTTTTTTAAAAAAGACAAACGGTTTCTAAGTCACATCAAGTGACAAACTTGGTAGACCAAATGTTTTTGTTGAAGGAAAATTTTACAACTGTGACAACTAAAGTGTTTATAGAATTTTGCGACACTTTCTTTATAAAGTGATTTGATATATATGATATGTAGTGATATAGGATTTCATAAACTTATTTGGTTTCCATACTGTCATGTCAGCAACATGTGGTCCAGGAAGAGTTAGGTTTATAGTGTTCCAGTTATTCTTCTTTCTTTACACTCTAGTAGCTCATGTATGGTCTACTCATGGGATATTGCAATAGTATTGGTAGGATCTGATTTCAAGGATTTACATTGTGATATCTGTTTGCTGGCTGATGAAGACACCACTAAAAGCCACAACCGACTAATGTTGTGGAGAGAGAAAGATCACGAGGTGATGCGTAGACTGGGCCAAGAGAACAAGCATACCTGAAGTTTGAATTAGTTTTCTTTATTCAATTGAAGAGTGTTGTTCTAGGCAATTGAAGAGAAAGATGTGTTTTTTTGAAGAACATGGTTTTTAGTTTCAACAGTAGACAAGCTTATGGGAGAGAATGCTAAGATGCTAAAGACCAACCTAGTAGGATCAACTGTCTTGTTGTCTGCACAGGTATGTTTGCTGTGTTTTCATTTATTTGTTATTAGTAAAGAGGTTTTATTTTTGTGAATTTTGTTCAGTCTTTCTATTACTCACACTTATGGGAACTAGTTTAAATTATTTACATAATTTGCTTACCTTATCTCTTGTCTGAATCTATTGTTTTGGAGGAACACACCATATCTGATACTTGTAGGGAAACCAATTTCAACCAAAAATACCACAAGTAGAAAGGTAGGGGAAATTATGGTGCTGTGACTAGGATTTAGTGTGGAATATTTGTGACTTCATAACAAGTATACTAGCCCTCACTTAACCTC